CGAACCGGCGTCCCCTGCATCGGCAGGCGGACTCTCAATCACTGCGCCGCCAGGGAAGCCCTACAGCCAGTTTTTCCTTCAAGATGTCTTTAAGGTTCTCAGCTACTTCCAAAGCCACTAACTATCCCAGCAGATACCCACATCACTTTATTCCTGGATTAACCTCCATACCTATCACAATGAACACCATTGCCATTTATTTATTTATTTATTTTTAAATTTTTGAATTTTATTTTTTTATACAGCAGGTTCTTACTAGTCATCAGTTTTATACACATCAGTGTATGCATGTCAATCCCAATCGCCCAATTCATCACACCACCACCACCACCCCCCACGGCTTTCCCCCCTTGGTGTCCATACATTTGTTCTCTACATCTGTGTCTCTATTTCTGCCCTGCAAACTGGTTCATCTGTACCATTTTTCTAGGTTCCACATATATGCATTAATATATGCTATTTGTTTTTCTCTTTCTGACTTACTTCACTCTGTATGACAGTCTGTAGATCCATCCATGTCTCAACAAATGACCCAATTTCATTCCTTTTCATGGCTGAGTAATATGCCATTGTATATATGTACCACATCTTTATCCATTTGTCTGTCGATGGGCATTTAGGTTGCTTCTGTGACCTGGCTATTGTAAATAGTGCTGCAGTGAACGTTGGGGTGCATGTGTCTTTTTGAATTATGGTTTTCTCTGGGTATATGCCCAGTAGTGGGATTGCTGGATCATATGGTAATTCTATTTTTAGTTTTTTAAGGAACCTCCATACTGTTCTCCATAGTGGCTGTATCAGTTTACATTCCCACCAGCAGTGCAAGAGGGTTCCCTTTTCTCCACACCCTCTCCAGCATTTGTTGTTTGTAGATTTTCTGATGATGCCCATTCTAACTGGTGTGAGGTGATACCTAATTGTAGTTTTGATTTGCATTTCTCTAATGATCAGTGATGTTGAGCAGCTTTTCATGTGCTTCTTGGCCATCTGTATGTCTTCTTTGGAGAAATGTCTATTTAGGTCTTCTGCCCATTTTTGGATTGGGTTGTTTGTTTTTTTAATATTGAGCTGCATGAGCTGTTAATATATTTTGGAGATTAATCCTTTGTCCATTGATTCGTTTGCAAATATTTTCTCCCATTCTGAGGGTTGTCTTTTCACCTTCTTTATGGTTTCCTTTGCTGTGCAAAAGCTTTGAAGTTTCATTAGGTCCCATTTGTTTATTTTTGTTTTTATTTCCATTACTCTAGGAGGTGGATCAAAAAAGATCTTGCTGTGATTTATGTCAAAGAGTGTTCTTCCTATGTTTTCCTCTAAGAGTTTTATAGTGTCCAGTCTTACATTTAGGTCTTTAATCCATTTTGAGTTTATTTTTGTGTATGGTGTTAGGGAGTGTTCTAATTTCATTCTTTTACATGTAGCTGTCCAGTTTTCCCAGCACCACTTATTGAAGAGACTGTCTTTTCTCCATTGTATATCCTTACCTCCTTTGTCATAGATTTGTTGACCATATGTGCGTGGATTTATCTCTGGGCTTTCTATCTTGTTCCATTGATATATGTTTCTGTTTTTGTGCCAGTACCATATTGTCTTGATTACTGTAGCTTTGTAGTATAGTCTGAAGTCAGGGAGTGTGATTCCTCCAGCTCTGTTTTTTTCCCTCAAGACTGCTTTGGCTATTCAGGATCTTTTGTGTCTCCATACAAATTTTAAGATTTTTTGTTCTAGTTCCGTTAAAAATGCCATTGGTAATTTGATAGGGATTGAATCTGTAGATTGCTTTGGGTAGTATAGTAATTTTCATAGTATTGATTCTTTCAATCCAAGAACATGGTATATCTCTCCATCTGTTGGTATGTTTAATTTCTTTCATCAGTGTCTTATAGTTTTCTGCATACACGTCTTTTGTCTCCCTAGGTAGGTTTATTCCTAGGTATTTTATTCTTTTTGTTGCAGTGGTAAATGGGAGTGTTTCCTTAATTTCTCTTTCAGATTTTGCATCATCAGTGTATAGGAATGCAAGAGATTTCTGTGCATTAATTTTGTATCCTGCAACTGTACCAAATTCATTGATTAGCTCTACTAGTTTTCTGGTGGCATATTTAGGATTCTCTATGTATAGATTCATGTCATCTGGAAACAGTGACAGTTTTACTTCTTCTTTTCCAATTTGTATTCCTTTTATTTCTTTTTCCTCTCTGATTGCCATGGTTAGGACTTCCAAAACTATGTTGAATGATAGTGGTGAGACTGGACATCCTTTTCTTGTTCCTGATTTTAGAGGAAATGCTTTCAGTTTTTCACCGTTGAGAACGATGTTTGCTGTGGGTTTGTCATATATGCCCTTTATTGTGTTGTGTTAGGTTCCCTCTATACCCACTTTCTGGAGAGTTTTTAACATAAATGGGTGTTGAATTTTGTCAAAAGCTTTTTCTGCCTCTATTGAGATGATCATATGGTTTTTATTCTTCAGTTTGTTAGTATGGTGTATCACATTGATTGATTTGCATATATTGAAGAATCCTTGCATCCCTGGGATAAATCCCACTTGATCATGGTATATGATCCTTTTAATGTGTTGTTGGATTCTGTTTGCTAGTATTTTGTTGAGGATTTTTGCATCTATATTCATCAGTGATAATTGGTCTGTAATTTTCTTTTTTTGTAGTATCTTTGTCTGGTTTTGGTATCAGGGTGATGGTGACCTCATAGAATGAGTTTGGGAGTGTTCCTCCCTCTGCAATTTTTTTTTTTTTTTTAAAATAATACACAATGTATTTATTTATTTATTTATTTATGACTGTGTTGGGTCTTCATTTCTGTGCATGGGCTTTCTCTAGTTGTGGCAAGTGGGGGTCACTCTTCATCGCGGTGCGCAGGCCTCTCACTATCGCGGCCTCTGTTGTTGCGGAGCACAGGCTCCAGACGCGCAGGCTCAGTAATTGTGGCTCACGGGCCCAGTCGCTCCATGGCATGTGGGATCTTCCCAGACCAGGGCTCGAACCCGTGTCGTCTGCATTGGCAGGCAGACTCTCAACCACTGCGCCACCAGGGAAGCCCCGCTCTGCAATTTTTTGGAAGAGTTTGAGAAGGATGGTTGTTAGCTTGTCTCTAAATGTTTGATAGAATTCACCTGTGAAGCCATCTGGTCCTGGACTTTTGTTTGTTGGAAGATTTTTAATCACAGTTTCAATTTCACTACTTGTGATTAGTCTGTTCATATTTTCTGTTTCTTCCTGGTTCAGTCTTGGAAGGTTATACCTTTCTAAGAATTTGTCCATTTCTTCCAGGTTGTCCATTTTATTGTCATAGAGTTGCTTGTAGTAGTCTCTTAGGATGCTTTGTATTTCTGTGGTGTCTGTTGTAACTTCTCCTTTTTCATTTCTAAGTTTATTGATTTGAGTCCTCTCCCTCTTTTTCTTGATGAGTCTGGCTAATGGTTTATCAATTTTGTTTATCTTCTCAAAGAACCAGCTTTTAGTTTTATTGATCTTTGCTATTGTTTTCTTTGTTTCTATTTCATTTATTTCTGCTCTGATCTTTATGATTTCTTTCCTTCTGCTAACTTTGGGTTTTGTTTGTTCTTCTTTCTCTAATTCCTTTAGGTGTAAGGTTAGATTGTTTATTTGAGATTTTTCCTGTTTCTTGAGGTAGGCTTGTATAGCTATAAACTTTCCTCTTAGAACTGCTTTTGCTGCATCGTATACGTTTTGGATCATCGTGTTTTCATTGTCATTTGTCTCTAGGTATTTTTCGATTTCCTCTTTGATTTCTTCAGTGATCTCTTGGTTATTTAATAACGTATTGTTAGCCTCCATGTGTTTGTGTTTTTTTACTTTTTTTTCCCTGTAATTCATTTCTAATCTCATAGCATTGGGGTCAGAAAAGATGCTTGATATGATTTCAGTTTACTTAAGTTTACTGAGGCTTGATTTGTGACCCAAGATGTGATCTATCCTGGAGAATGTTCTGTGCGCACTTGAGAAGGAAGTGTAATCTGCTGTTTTTGGATGGAATGTCCTATAAATATCAATTAAATCTATCTGGTCTACTGTGTCATTTAAAGCTTCTGTTTCCTTATTTATTTTCATTTTGGATGATCTGTCCATTGGTGTAAGTGAGGTGTTAAAGTCCCCCACTATTATTGTGTTACTGTCGATTTCCTCTTTTAGAGCTGTTAGCAGTTGCCTTATGTATTGAGGTGCTCCTATATTGGGTGCATATATATTTATAATTGGTAGATCTTCTTCTTGGATTGATCCCTTGATCATTATGTAGTGTCCTTCCTTGTCTCTTGTAACATTCTTTATTTTAAAGTCTATTTTATCTGGTATGAGTATTGCTACTCCAGCTTTCTTTTGATTTCCATTTGCATGGAATATCTTTTTTCATCCCCTCACTTTCAATCTGTATGTGTCCCTAGGTCTGAAGTGGGTCTATTGTAGACAGCATATATATGGGTCTTTTTGTATCCATTCAGCAAGCCTGTGTCTTTTGGTTGGATCGTTTAATCCATTCACTTTTAAGGTAATTTTTGATATGTATGTTCCTATGACCATTTTCTTAATTGTTATGGGTTTGTTTTTGTAGGTCCTTTTCTTCTCTTGTGTTTCCCACTTAGAGAATTTCCTTTTGCATATGTTGTAGAGCTGGTTTGGTGGTGCTGAATTGTCTTAGCTTTTGCTTGTCTGTAAAGCTTTTGATTTCTCCATTGAATCTGAATTAGATCCTTGCTGGGTAGAGTAATCTTGGTTGTAGGTTCTTCCCTTTCATCACTTTAAGTATATCATGCTACTCCCTTCTGGCTTGTAGAGTTTCTGCTGAGAAATCAGCTGTTAACCTTATGGGGATTCCCTTGTATGTTATTTGTAGTTTTTTCCTTGCTGCTTTCAATAATTTTTGTTTGTCTTTAATTTTTGCCAATTTGATTACTGTGTGTCTCGGCATGTTTCTCCTTGGGTTTATCCTCTACGGGACTCACTGCACCTCCCGGACTTGGGTGGCTATTTCCTTTCCCATGTTAGGGAAGTTTTCGACTATAATCTCTTCAAATATTTTCTTGGGTCCTTTCTCTCTCTCTTCTCCTTCTGGAACCCCTATAATGCGAATGTTGTTGTGTTTAATGTTGTCCCAGAGATCTCTTAGGCTGTCTTCATTTCTTTTCATTCTTTTTTCTTTATTCTGTTCTGCAGCAGTGAATTCCACCATTCTGTCTTCCAGGTCACTTACCCGTTCTTCTGCCTCAATTATTCTGCTATTGATTCCTTCTAGTATGGTTTTCATTTCAGTTATTGTATTGTTCATCTCTGTTTGTTCTTTAATTCTTCTAGGTCCTTTTAAAACATTTCTTGCATCTTCTCGATCTTTGCCTCCATTCTTTTCCGAGGTCCTGGATCATCTTCACGATCATTATTCTGAATTCTTTTTCTGGAAGGTTGCCTATCTCCACTTCATTTAGTTGTTTTTCTGGGCTTTTATCTTGTTCCTTCATCTGGTACATAGCCCTCTACCTTTTCATCTTGTCTGTCTTTCTGTGAATGTGGTTTTTGTTCCACAGGCTGCAGGATTGTAGTTCTTCTTGCTTCTGCTGTCTGCCCTTTGGTGGATGAGGCTGTCTAAGAGGCTTGTGCAAGTTTCCGGATGGGAGGGACTGGTGGTGGGTAGAGCTGACTGTTGCTCTGGTGGGCAGAGCTCAGTAAAACTTTAATCTGCCTGACTGCTGATGGGTGGGGCTGGGTTCCCTCCCTGTTGGTTGTTTGGCCTGAGGCAACCCAACACTGGAGCCTACCTGGGCTCTTTGGTGGGGCTAATGACAGACTCTGGGAGGACTCACGGCAAGGTGTACTTCCCAGAACTTCTGCTGCCAGTGTCCTTGCCCCCATGGTGAGCCACAGCCACCCTCTGCCTCTGCAGGAGACCCTCCCACACTAGCAGGTAGGTCTGGTTCAGTCTCCTCTGGGGTCACTGCTCCTTCCGCTGGGTCCTGATGCTCACACTGCTTTGTGTGTGCCCTCCAAGAGTGGAGTCTCTGTTTCCCCCAGTCCTGTCAAAGTCCTGCAATCAAATCCCACTAGGCTTCAAAGTCTGATTCTCTAGGAATTCCTCCTCCCGTTGCCAGACCCCCAGGTTGGGAAGCCTGATGTGGGGCTTAGAACCTTCATTCCAGTGGGTGGACATCTATGGTATAAGTGTTCTCCAGTCTGTGAGTCACCCACCCAGCAGTTATGGGATTTGATTTTGCTGTGATTGCACCCCTCCTACCATCTCATTGTGGCTTCTCCTTTGTCTTTACATGTGGGGGTATCTTTTTTGGTGAATTCCAGTGTCTTCCTTTTGATGATTGTCCAGCAGCTAGTTGTGATTTTGGTGTTCTCGCAAGAGGGAGTGAGAGCACGTCCTTCTACTCCACCATCTTGGTTCAGGGCCACCATTGCCATTTGATCTTACATACTTATATCGGTGTTTTGAGTCTTTATCATTTTATTCACATCTATGCTCAGGAACCTTTAATGGCTCAATTTTACTTCCATGATTAAATTTATATTTAGTAGCCCTCAGAGCCCTCCTTTAGCTCGTCTGGTCTGCCCTTATGTATTCAACCTCCTATGCCCTACCTCTGCTCCTCCACTGCAGCCAGATTGGCCTTTTTATGATCCCTTTACATGTTCATTCCTGTCCTCTGTTTGTTCTCTTCCCCTGATTAAAGATTCTTTAGCCTTCTGTCAGTTTTCAGCCATCATCTTCTAAATCTAACTTGAGTCCTCCTTTAAAAACCCTTTACTATTTCAATCTTATTTTGTATGTTCTCTTGTTTTATATTCATGTTCTTAACTCCAGTGCTTGTACATTATCTACTTTCCAATCTGACCATGTCACCACGCTTGAAATCCTTGAATGTTTGCTCATTGCTTTTATGATAAAGACAAAACTCCATTAAGTGTGGCCTGCAAGGCCCTGTATGGTCTAGTTCCTACTATTTCTATAGCCTCATTTCAAACCATTCCCCTTTTGCTCTTAGCCACACTAACCTTTCAGTCCACTGTGTTCCGTCATGCCACAGGACCTTTGCACAGGTTCTTCTCTTTGCCTGGAACGTTTTCACTCCCTCAAGCAAATCTTTCCTGGCTTTGCTGATCAGTCCAAACTTCCCTCTCATAAACACTTATAGCACCATCTTCCTCTCCCTATTACTTGTCATGGTTGAAGTCTCATATGGTTTGTGTGATTAATTAATATGTCTCACCTACCAGCAGTAAGCTCCAGGAGAGCATATTTTCACACTGTTATGTCCCCAGTGCCTGCCACATAATGGATACTCAATAAATAGTTCCTGAATTAATTAATACATCAATTAATTCTTTGATACAGTAGTTTCCAATTGTTTCATATTAGTCATGAAATTTTGGCTCTGGGAGGAATCTTAGAGATTATCAGTCTGTCATTTCCTAACATTTTTTATTGGAGAAGCTCTTTCAGCGCCAAACTCAAAATGTGTTGTCAAAAACAATTTTTCCTTAAGATTACATTATAAAGTTAATTTTTAATGTGTTTTTTTAAATTTAAGTGACAGTTTTTAAAGTCTTTTTCCCATTTAACAAGCAATATGTATTGATTACGTTACTTTTAATTCTGTAAGGAAATGTATGGTTTTTTAACATTCAAAAATGATATTTTATATCATGTATAATTTGGGGATCAACTTTATACTGAAATTTAACCATATGTTATAGTATCAGAAGTAGATAAGATCTGCATTATGATCATATGTAATTGGAATTATTATGTTTTGACCATTTGAAAATCAACTTTTTGTTCTAAATTTCATGTTTTATTTTTAAATAATATAATTATACAAAAGGTCTTAGCCTACTGTTTGCAAATTCTTCACAAATATTGCAGTTCTGCAGCCTCTGGTCCCAATTAGTTAAAAGCCCAAGTGAATATATTTAACTATATTTTCTCTTGAACGTTGGTTTTTAGAGGACTAGACACATTTTGATGTTCCACATAAGAATTTTGATCAGATGAATAAAATTTGTAAACAAACAGCTTGAGGCAAATTTGCAGAATTATTATCTATTTTATGTTGTATTTCAACATCTATGTCCTTTATATTTTTTAATCTTAATTTGGCCAAGGAAATGCAGCTAGTTAATGTTACATATGATTCCTGATCATTGTATTCAATGTGGCTCTTTTTTATCCCCAGCCCTCACCCCTCCCAACATATGCACACTTAATCTAGACCTCAGCACACAGTAGGCACTCAGTAAATACTTAAATAAATCAGTGGATGATACGTATTTATTACTCTTTCACTTAAGCAGTTCTCATATTTTATTTGTTTGTTCTTTTCTTTTCTAGGAGAATGTGGATTATCTGATTCAGGAGCTCCGAAGACCCAAATACAGTATATATTTTATTTGTAAGTATGTTATTTCACCTGTTCAATCATGTAACTGAATCCTAGCTAATATGTTCTATTGGGTACTTCATAGCATCAGTAAGTTAATTGAATCCATCACTGAAAGAGTCTGGTGAGTTTTTTTGTCATTTCAAAGTATTAAAAGTGTTAAAAGTGTTGGCAACATTCTGTTTCTGAGAGCTAAATGTGATTTCTACTCATCATAGACTGCTTAGGTTAAAAACAAATTTTTTGTTAAGTTTTACTTTGCCCTTTAAGTTTCTTTATAAGTCAAAAGTTGTAAGTAGTCAACTTTCACATTCTACCTTTGCCAAAAAAGTATGTATACTTATTTCTATTTTACACTTTTATGAACGGAGGCATAGAAGCTGATTTATTTATTTGGAGGGAGGATATACTTGAGTTTGTTGGAAAAGCAGAGATTTACTTTACATACCAGATGAAAACAGTCTACTTCTCTTTGCAACTTTATGTAATACTTGAAAGTACAAGTCATCAGGTAGATATCTCCTATTTGCATAACTTTTGGGGAGGGGAAAGGGGGTGGAGGCCTGGAAATAAACTGGGTTTGTGGTTACTATACAATTTATATGGATTTTTTTAATGTAATACATTCTGCTTTGGAAGTTACATCTTTTCTCCTCTAGATGTCCTTATTGATCTTCATAGCATTTGTATTGTTTACTTGAAGGCTTTGGAGTTTTAGGGTTTAAACTATAGCCTAAGATATATACTTTCTTCCGCATATACTACAATTTAATAATGGTACAAAAAATTAACATTTGTGATAAGACACTGTAGTTTATAAGAACTCTCTCATATTTATTCAGCCCTTAAAACAACCCCAGGAGGTAAAAACAGGCAATTTTATTCTTTTCTGTCATCCTACTTTTGTTTTTGTTATTGTTTTATTTTTGGCTAATAATCACGGGTTTTCTTTTTCAATTAAGCTTTTTTTTTCTTTTTTTTTTTTAATTTATTTGATTTTATCTTTGGCTGCATTGGGTCTTCGTTGCTGCACACGGGCTTTCTCTAGTTGCTGCAAGCAGGGGCTACTCTTCATTGCCCTGCGCAGGCTTCATTGCGGTGGCTTCTCTTGTTGCAGAGCATGGGCTCTAGGTGCGTGGGCTTAAGTAGTTGTGGCATGCGGGCTCAGTAGTTGTGGCTCACGGGCTCTAGAGCACAGGCTCAGTAGTTGTGGTGCACAGGCTTAGTTGCTCCACGGCATGTGGGATCTTCCTGGACCAGGGCTCGAACCTGTGTCCCCTGCATTGGCAGGCAGATTCTTAACCACTGCGCCACCAGGGAAGTCCTCATTTTTATTTATTTATTTATTTATTTATTTATTTATTTATTTATTTATTTACTGAGTAGTATTCCATGGTATGGATGTACCACAATTTGTTTAACTGTTCACCTGTTGAAGGACATCTCAGTTGTTTCTAGTTTGGGCTAATACAAATAAAGTTGTTATAAATATTTGTGTATAGGTTTTTGTGTGAACATAAGTCTTTATTTCTCTGTAATAAATAATACCCAGGGAGCAATTGCTGGGTCATATGGTAGTTGCATGTTTAGTGTTTTAAGAAACTGCTAAATGTTTTCTGGCATGACTATGCCATTTTACATTTCCATTAGCAGTGTACAGGTGATCTAATTTCTTTGTATCCTCACAAGCATTTAGTGTTGTCCCTGTTTTTCATTTTAGCCATCCTGATAGGTGTGCAGTCATTCTAGTATTTTTTAAGTCTGATTACAAGCTAGGTACTGAGGATAGGAAAGTATAAAAACTTTTGTATTCAGTGACACACATAGACACACACACACACATATATTTATATATAGAGAGAGATTGATTCCCCATACTGTCAAATTTATCTGGACATCTAACAGAATTACTGTTTTGCTGAGTCTCTTAGCTAAAAATTGAATAGATCATGAGATGAAAGACTCCCTTTTCCTCTGAAAAGAGTTATTTGATGCAGTGGTTGGGATTAATAACCAAAAATAAGTCTAATATTTACTCTTCTGGTTGTAAAGTTTGTTTGATTTGGGCTGTAAATCTATGAAGTCGAAAAAAAATTATATATGTTAAAGTAGTTAGCACTAAAGCCTAGGAAAAATGGACTGTTGAAATGTCTTGGGTGGAGCAATCAATTTCACAATTTTATTTGATTGAAATAAACTAAAATGAGTTTATGTATAGTGATTTTATTCTTTACAGACTTTCAGCACAATTTATATTAATTAGCACAAAACTGGCCTTCTGCTCATGTCATTTTTTAATAATTTTATTTTTGTATATTCTTATGTCTACTAAACATCTTGTATAACAGGCTCCTTCCTTCCTTTATTTAAAAAAAACTTTTTTATTATGGAAGTTTTCAAATATGTAAAAAGTAGACAGAATAGTCTAATAAATCCCAATGTACCCATCACCCAGTTTCTACAGTTATCGTACCATGGCCAATCCTGTTTTAGCTATACTGCTGTCTGCTCCCCCATCAACATTATATTGAAGATAACCTAAGACATCACATGATTTCATCCATAAATATTTCCATGTGCATCTCTAAATGATAAGGACTTGTTTTAAAGAGTACCGTTATTATATCCAAATAATGAAGAAAATTCCTATTTATTCAAATATTCATTCAGTGTTCAAATTTCAAATTCTTTCATGCCTTTTTTTTTCACCACTGTTTGTTTGAATCAGGATCATAGTAAGGTCCACACATTGCTATTGGTTGATATGTTGTTTAAGTTTCTTTAATCTTCTATAAGTCCTCTCTCTACCCCAACCCCCATGTGGTCTATTTATTGAAGAAACTACATTGTTTTGTTAAAGTTTCCCACAGCCTGGATCTTGCTGATTGCATCTGCATGGGGTACTTTAACATGTTCTTTGCAATTTAAAATGTTCCCTCTGTCCTCTAGTTCTTGTAAATTGGTACTTGGATACAGAGGCTTAATTAGATTCAGATTTGATTTCTTTTTGACAAGAATATTTCATAGGTAGTGTTGTATGCTTCCACTGATTGTCTCTTACTGTGATACTAGCAGAGGTTAATGCCCAATGCCTAGTTCCATCCATTGATTCATTTGGGGTTGAAAAAAATGATGGTGTTTTAATTTTATCATTATCATTCCTTTGCTTTTTAGCTGGAAAATTTCTTTAAAGAGGAGTTTCCCCTCATCTACCATTTGGTTATCTGGTGGTACAGTTTGCATATAAAAGAATAAAAGCTTACTTCTTTCCCAGTATTTGCTATTTTCAATATAATGATTTGGTTCCCTAGCATCCTCCAATGCCTACAATCGTGGTTCCCTTTTTTTTTTTTTTAAGTATTATGAATTTACAGATTTAAACATATTTGTGCTGTTCATTCCAATGTGAAGGTGTTTGACATATACCACAATGTATACTAAATTTCACTTAGTCATTAGACTTTAACTGTCAGGCCCATTTATGTCTAATTGCAGCAGAGGTGATCTCCTCTGAGTCAACCACAACCTATATGTCTGTTTCAGATTTCAGTAATGTGATCAGCAAGAGTGATGTGAAGTCATTAGCTGAAGCTGATGAACAGGAAGTGGTGGCTGAGGTTCAGGTAAACATATTGGTCCTCTAATACATATCTTATATTGGCCCTTTCTGAAGATTTGAGTCTAAAAATATGGAAGGTGTTGTCTCATAAGAAAGGAAGCTATTGATCAGACACAATAAATGTGCATTGCACCAGACTATACTCATATTTAGAAAGTTTGGAAGAGGTATTAAATTGAGTGGGAATAGAATTAAAGTAGGCAGTGGGAATGAGGAGATTGGAAAGGTACTGGATTGGTAGGGACGGTTTCACAGGGTTGGGGACAGAGCCAGATATGTCTTATGCTAGTTTTATGAGCTATACTGTAAGAATATTCATCTACACAGTTATAGTTTATGTCTGATTGGGAGAGAATAGGAAGTAAAGGATGTGAATGAGGTTTATTAAAGTTCTGTTTGTGATTATCTTGCTTTGGGAAGTAGTAAGCAGATTTGTCATTAGGTTAAAACTTGCAACTCCTTAGTGTTTATTCTGCATGCTATGTAATACTTCACATTAGAACATTTCATGTTACCTTTTCCTTCTTAAACCCTTTAGTGTTCTTGAATACATTTATCACAGATGTTTGAATACATTTATCACCTAAGTGAAGAATATCGTCCTCAGGGAAGCAAATAAACAAGTTCTGGATTTTCAGGAGGATGTGCTAGGTGATAAATGAATGAAAAAAGAATGACCTATTTTAAATCATATTCTCCCTCATGAGAATACACTGGACAGCAAAGTTCTTATTCATCTAACTGAGTGTAACATTGTATATCTTTAGCAGTGTTTTATTTTTACTAATTGATAAGTCTTCTTAAGTATGATATGTATATTTATGCAACTTTGTTTTTTGGGGTTTTTTTGTTAAAGATTTATTATTATTGCTACTATTTTATGATTATCTTATTAATTCCCTCACATTTGACTATTGTTACTCAATTGTTAATTGATCAATTTTTCTCTTTTATACCTGCATTTCCTCAAATTTGATTGTATCACATAGTATTATATCACATATGAAAAATATTATTGCATGATACAGTTAGGAGTTTATGGAATGACTGACTAATCTTGGTGCTTTGTTTGCAGGAATTTTATGGTGATTACATTGCTGTGAATCCACATTTGTTTTCCCTCAATATTCTGGGTTGCTGCCAGGTATGGAAAGAAAGGATTTTTTTTTTAAGTTTATTTATCATGTAGGAGTTAATTCAGTAAGTAATTGGACTTGTAAGATAAAATTCAAATATTTTCTCTGAATATATGTTTTAACAAAAAGGGTCGAAATTGGGATCCAGTCCAACTATCCAGAGCAACTCAAGGACTGACAGCTCTCCTTTTATCTCTGAAGAAATGTCCCATGATTCGTTACCAGCTTTCATCAGAGGCAGCAAAGAGACTTGCAGAATGTGTTAAGGTATGGCATTCTCTATCTCCAGTTCCAAAACATCAAGACCATTCATTTCTTTTTCATATTTCAGAAATTAAAGGAATATTTTATCTAAAACTAAGGAGATGATGTGTTAGGTTTACTGGCAAAGAGGTAGGCATTTGTAATTCAAGACCAAAAGCAACAAATTAGAGCTAAGATTCTTAGGTTTAACCCAAGAAACATTTGCAAGCTACTTAACTTCTTTTGATCCTATTAAACCACTTGTAAAATAGAGTTTCAAATCCTAACCCCTTAAACAGAATGCTACTAAACTTTGTCAAGCTTTTGAATCCTTTTATGGAAGACCTATGAAAGTGCAAGAAACTATTGTTAAATGTGGTTTTTGTGTATTAATTTTCTATTTATATCATCTCTATCTGCTACTAATTGGTTCACCAAACCGTCTTTCTCTCTTACCCACAGCAAGTGATAACTAAAGAATATGAACTGTTTGAATTCCGGCGGACTGAGGTTCCTCCATTGCTACTTATTTTAGATCGCTGCGATGATGCCATCACCCCATTGCTAAACCAGGTGCAGAGCCCTTTGTTAGCATAATGAAAAGATGATTTCAAGTGGTATTCATCAAAATGCAGATGTGGAAATGAACAACATGGTCCATTTGTTTGCCTCCTTATTTTCAGCTATTCTTGTTTTTGCCTTGTGTTTCCTAGCATTCTGGTATCAGTGTTCTTCCAGCCACAGTCATCTTCAGCTCTTTCTTCTGCCTCATCCTTCCTGTCCCTTTCTGCCACCATCCCTAATTAAGGCAACTTCTGGGTCTGTAGATTCTACTTTTCCATTCATATTGCCATTATCTTGATATATCTAATCTCTTATAGGAATCCTCAAATAGTCATCCCCACTTTTAATTTCTCTCCACTCTAATGTATCTCACGGACACAATGTTGTTAAATTACTTTTACTAAAGCACAGTTCTGATCCTATTACTCCTGGCTTACAAATCTTAATTGTTTCCCATTTGCCTACTGGATGAAATACAGACTCCTGAACTTGGCATCCATGAGCCTTCACAATGTAGGCTCAACGTTATAGAAAACCTGCAGCTCACTACTGTGTAGATATACCTCATGATTTCCTGCCATCATTTTATGCATGTTGTGACCTCTCTTTGAACTCTGGCATGTTTGGAATACATTCTCTTCCCATCTTCACCTCTCAAAATTCTTATCCTTTAAAACCACTTGAAACATATTTAAAGTGTTTTTGAAACATCTTATGTCTCATGCTGCACTTTCTATGTTGTACCTTTGATTGTTTTCACAGTCTCCTAGGTTATACATTCCTTCAAGGCAGACTGTGTCTTACTAATGTTTGTTCTTCTGTGAATACAAGCACAGTGCCTTACACTTTGTAGATACTTTATTAATAGTGACTTTAAATTTATAGGAAAAGGCACAGTCTATATTTCAGTTCCATCCCAGCTTATAATAATAATGTTAATGCTGGGGGAAATCTGTGCTGTGGAATACAACTTCTCTATGATATGATAGATAGCCTTATATTCCTAAAATTCAGAGTAATATAACTTTATATATTCTATATATTACATATTATCTGTTACATATTTTATATACATTTTAATAATATAACTAAAGAAATTTTGATGATATAAAAAAGTAGAAAGAAAAATAATTGCTTATAATTTAGTTTCCCAAAGAAAAGCAATCATTCTTTCAACAAATTTCACTGAGGACCTATTATGTGCCAGGTACTGTATTAAGTACTAGAGATAAAAGGTTAAAAGATACAGTCTGCTCTCAAAGAATTCATGATCCAATTAGGAGAAAGTAAACATCATTTTAATTATGAAGTATGTGCTAATGGCTAAAGCATGCACAGGATGCTGTCTATGGAAGCATAAAGCATTTTGTTGTACTTATTTTAAATGCTGTAATGAAACTTGCTTTTTCAAGGACTCATTGGCAAATATTTTAGGAAATAAAGCACCTACTTTTATAACCTCTGAAGTTATTTTAACAAATCTAGTATTTAGACTCTAGATTTAGAGGGTAATTTGCTGGAAAATACTTAGTTTTCTCTAATGGGCCTGTGACTAATAGTAACCTGTTCTCCATAAAAGGTGAGAAGGCAAATTTGGGGGTTTCTCCTTTCCAGTTTTACGAAATAAGTAGGACTGGAAACCAGTCCTTCTTCACAATGCATATTAAGTAAAAATATAAAGTAAAATGGATTCAGAGGCAAGCTTCTGAATACGTGTGTTTTGATCAACTCACAAGGTTTTTTTCTGGTAATATTAGTGTTCCCAGGATAAATATAGCACCACTCAGATCTGCAAGAACACACTTCTCATGGTGCAGAAAACCACAGAAGTGTACAGGAAACGGTACAGCTTGTAACTGCAGTACCAATATAGCCCTATCTATGAAGCCAAAAATATACTCTTAATTCACAGGCAAAAATTGGAGCTAATGATAGATCTAATTTGTTTTCTTTCTATCAGGAATATTAATCTGGCTGCCCTTCTTCCAAAAGTGTGAAATCTAAAAGCATTTTGACTGTCGGATGTTTAACCAATTAAAATGACAATCTTAATGCTTAGTATAGCACAAAGTATTAATAAAATTTGAGCTAAATAGAGAACCTCCATGTAAACAAGACTAGTTACTAAGAATGTTATCAGTTTTTATTTGTTTTCCTGAACGTGTACTATTTCCATGTTTTGTCAGTTACCAATTTTTTTGGTCATAATTCTTTATTTAGTGGACATATCAGGCCATGGTCCATGAACTACTGGGCATAAACAACAATCGGATTGATCTTTCCAGAGTGCCAGGGATCAGTAAAGACTTGAGAGAGGTGGTTCTATCTGCTGAAAATGATGAATTCTACGCTAACGTAAGTGGTTTAAAATTCTTTGAAATTTTTTTAGTTGTTTTTATGTAAGAAGGTTAATATTGATTTGTTAGAATGAGAGCAGGTTTGGGATTTCATGTAGAAGGATGATAGAGGCATCCTGTAGATAAACTGCATCTCAAGGGAAGGCAGACTTTTTTCTGACCCTTTAACAATATTTTTTTCACAGTAATCACATACTTAGTTTTGTACTTTTAAAATTAGAACCCAATTTATTTACTTCTCTCCTGTCCTTAGCCCTTTGTGAAAATGGTAATCGTATTCATCACCAGTGTCCTGGCCAATATACAAATTTGGTAATGATAATGAAATTTTCTTGCCCTTCAGTTCTCACTGTATTCAGTGTTCTTTTTCACTTCTTTTAAATTGTCTGAAAGTCAGACTTGTTGATAGAACTGTGTTTCCAACTTCCTTTTTCACAGAATATGTACCTGAACTTTGCTGAGATTGGTAGCAACATAAAGAATCTCATGGAAGATTTTCAGAAGAAGAAACCAAAAGAACAGCAAAAACTAGAATCAATAGCAGACATGAAGGTAAATTGAACATGTACATGGATGATTAACATGCAAGACTTTGGAACTATTCATGTAAGCAGCATTTCTGGAATATTCTGGGTCTGATTTCTGCCTTGATTCCTTTTGTTCAGTTTGAGATTATTTTCTGTAATACTTCTCTTTAGGGAAAAATATAGTGAAAACTTCATAATAAGCCATGTACTTCTTTCCATTCATCAGTCATATTTGGGCTATAAAGAATCAGTCTACTGACATATACTAGTTCTTCTCTTCTTAAGCATAACAAAATGCCATGTGATTGAAAGTATTAGATTCCTTAGTCTGGGCAGAAGAATAATCCCTACCTTTTTTTTTTTTCCTTCTTCATACATGCCTATCCTCATCAAGAAATAACAGAACCCCCAATTGATATTTTTCCCATGGCAGGCCTTTGTTGAGAATTACCCACAATTCAAGAAGATGTCTGGGACTGTATCAAAGCACGTGACAGTGGTTGGAGAGCTGTCTCGGTTGGTCAGTGAGCGGAATCTGCTGGAGGTTTCGGAGGTTGAGCAAGAACTGGCCTGTCAAAATGACCATTCTAGTGCTCTCCAGGTATCTATTCAATCCAATTTGATGAGCACCTACTATGTGTAAGGCACTGTGCCAGGCAGAACAAGAGATACAAAGGCAAGTAATCCTTCTTAACCAACATGGAATTTACAGTGTAACAGGGAGTTGAGACAAGCACACAAATTAGTATTATTTAAGGTAGATGTATGATAAGAGGGACAGTAGAAGAAAAATGTGCAATCTCAAAGGGTTCAGGCAATTAATTGAGTGTTTAGGAGGGCAGCCTAGTCAACTAGAAAGAATGCTAGACTAAAATCAGAAGATCTGAATTTCAGTGTTTGATTTGCCGCTGCTGGCTTTGTGACCTGGAGCCGTTGGCTTAATCTCTGAGCCATTTTCCTCATTTGTTAAACAGGTATAATGATACTTATCTCACAGCATTGTTAGGAAGATTTTAAAGGTATAATATATTAAAATGCATTACCTAGGTTTTTATTATTGAACATCTGTTGTTTATTCCACAAACATGTGAATGCCTGCTCCATGTTCATGGTGCTGTGAGGATCTAGTGGTACAAAAATGAATAAGATACCATCCTTTTCCTCAAAAAGTTCACATTTTAGTAGGGGAGAAAGAAATTTAAACCAGGAATTATAATATATGCAATAAGTGCTATACTAGAGGTATTACAAAGGGATATGGGAATACAGAGGAAGGACAACTGTTTTCCCTAAGGATGAATCTTCTTAGAGCTTCTTAGAGACAATGACATTAGGTCTGGTTCTGGACAAGTAATTAAGTAGAAGTGCACCAACCAGAGAAAAGGAGGAAATTCTCAGCAGAGGGAATGCAAGCATGGAGATGTGAAAAAAAAAAAAAAAAATTTTTTTTTTAAGGGAACAGAGACTAATTCAATGTAGCCAGTGCTGGATATAAGATGAGGAGTGGTCTTAGATAAGCCAGAAGGACAGATTGAGGCCTGGTTATGGCCACTGAAAGGAGGTTAGGCTTTAATCTTAAAATGATGAGAGCTATCAGAGGATTTTAGAAAAAAGTGACATAATCAAACCCTAGCCTCATGAAATTTGCAGTATAAGTTGAAGAGACAAAACTAAAGCGTGAGTAACAATTAGGCAGTGTTTCAAGTTAATATTTAATTAAGTCAGAATTGTGGTACTGACTATAATTAAAGATTTGAGGTTATTAGGGACAGTTTCTTAGACAAGGTGATATTAAGATGGACCATAAATAATGAATAGAATCTGGAGGAGGATTTCAGCAAAGAAAAGTTGCAGAACTATGCAGAAAATAATAAACAGCATGACCTGTTGAGAGTGTGTGTGCAAGAGACATAGGAGATAAAATTGAATTGGTAAACAGGAACTAGTTTATGAAGACGCTTGTAAGGGGGATTTGTACTTGCTGAGATAGGCAAAGAGATCCAGTGTAGAGTCTTACGTAAAATTTGATATGATGAAAGCAGTATTTTAGAAAATTTAATCTAGTAAGGATGCTTTGGAGATGAAAAAAATTAAAGTCAGAGAGGCTAGAAGACTCAGTGGTAGTAGTAAAAATGTACAGAAGGGCAAATATGAAAGACATTTCAAAGGGAGAAAATAACTATTTAGTGACAGATTAGATATAAGGATAACAAGGCAGAACAAATCAGAGATAATTCCAAAATTCCTGAGAAGTGGCAAAATGTGGTATCACTGAGAGTAAGTAACTTGGGAATGAGAGTCCTTTGGGAAATAGCTGTTTCTAAGCCACTTATTATAAGAAGCACATTTCCTTATTAATAGGACCCTATATTCTAAAACTTAGTCTCTTTCTTTCCCTGCTGCAATTCTGCTTTATAAAATAAAGCCAGCATGGTATAATGGAAACAACACAGGCTTTGGAGCCAGACTGTCCTGGCTTATGTCCTATCTCTACGTATCAAAGTTTCTCTGGGAAAATTACTTATTTTGCCCAGGCCTCAGGGATAATGATTTTCAAACTTTTAGGTTGTTATCAGGATTTAATGAGATATAAAATGCTTCCCATATGGTAGGTACTTTGTAAAGGTCGGTTTCCTTCCTCTAAGCACAATTTTTTAAAGATATGGTACAATCAAAAGAAAGAAATTCACCCACCTGTGGTTGCTCTAGTTATACCAAAGTCTTCACTGTGATTTATGTTGATAGTTGTTGGTTTTTAATTTTTAAAAATGTTTATCAAGAGTTCCTCTGAAAACACCATCATTTTGAAAATCATGAAGATGCTATTGGCTTTATATTTATGAAATGTACTTCTGTCAACACTTAATTTTATCTCTGTGTTCTTAAATCTTCACAAAGAACTTTTAGGCTGACTTTATATTTTTAGTTGTATTAAATGCTAATTTTTTAATCTATTTTTTATTGAAGTATAGTTGATTTATACTGTTGTATTAATTTCTGCTGTATAGCAAAGTGATTCAGTTATACATATATCAACATTGTTTTATATTCTTTATATCATTGTTATGATATACCATTATGGTTTATCATAAATTCTAATTCTTAAATAGATAATATAAGTACTTGATGAAAGAGATACATAGTAAAAACTGAGTCTGTTAGTTTCACTTACATTATTACAGTTATTCTGTGTGTGTGCAAGCCTCTATGAGTGTGTATATTTCCTTCTCTCTCTTTTTAAAATTCAGATGATACCATACTGTACACATAGTTCTGCATTTTGCTTTTTCACTTAACTGTGTATCTCAGAGATTGTTCCAGACCAGAACCTAAACACTCATTCTATTAAATCACTAAATAGTATTCCTTTGTAAAGATACATCACAATCTATTTAACTTGGCCAACTTACTTTAAACAGCACTATTAATAACAGTTTATAGTTGGTTTGTGGGCCTAATAGAAGTATTCCTATGAAAACATTTTTTCTCAATAAAATGAATTTTTTTCTCTTATTAAGTAAAAACAGAATTATGTCCTGTAACTAAATTTATATTTCCTTATGTTTCTTTATCATTTTATTTTTCCCTTTAAAACAATAGAACCAAACTTAATCAGTAGCCAATTTTAGTATCTTTATTTGTATCTCACCATATGGAAAGCAGTTAGAAAAGGCTACTGTAATTCCTTGCCTGAAATCTTATTTTTTGTTCATTTTAAAAGAAAAACAGATACTTTAAAATATGAATTCCATTTATGATCCACTTTATATTTTTAAAAATTATCTTTTGAAGGTTTTCTTGCCCAGGGTATTAGGGTTTTACAGTGAGCAGTTGATTTGGACTCCCCCATCATAAAGGATTTCTTTGACAACATGATTTAAATAGTCAATAAAGAGAACTTTTAATAATGAGTAGACGCCAGGGGCCTGACCCCTAGATGGGTTACAGCATTCCTTGTCTTGACCTTAGGTGATAATAAGCAATGAATTAACTTTTGAGTAAAGATGAGGTTTGCTTTATTGAATAGTAACTGTATCATGGTGAGGCAAAAAAAGCTCATACATTGCTAAAAATTAACCTATAAATTGCTGCCACTTCTAACCAGTTACCCTACAGGGTAACAAAAAATTTGATTCAGAAGAATTTCACTAGAACCAAACTGCAATGTACTATCATTGATACATATGCATAGCCTTGGAAAAGACTCATTTGATTAGTAAGGAAGATTTTTTTTCATACCATAAAGAGAAAAATCTTCAGAAAGTAAATAATTTCTCCCCCTTTTGTTGTCTTATTACAGCTTTTCATTTGGAAGGAGGATCTAGTCTTTTTATATCCTTTCCTGACCTTGAGTAAAAGATCTCAAATCATCCCATTAATAACATGTAGTAAGGACAACAAATATTCATTAGAGAAATGAAGATAAAGAGTTCTGTTTGAAGCAGTATAGAATAGTGGCTAATAGCTTGAATCTTTGATGGCTTGGGTTTGAAAATGATTCTTAACCACTCCAAGTCTTAGTCTCTTGGTCTGTAAAATGGGAGGAAATATCAGTACTTACTTCAAAGATTTTTGTGAGGGTGTAATGAGCTAATACATGTAAAGCACTTAATACAGTACCTGGTACTTGTAACATTCAATGAATATTAACTATCGCTGTTTTCAGTATTATTGTTTGATGGTACATTCTCTTTTCTTTATGGCATCCAGGACATGTTTTTTAATTCACTCATGATCTTGGAACTCTCCCTGATTTTAGAAGGGTTTTTTTGCTTCTCATTAAAATTGTAAGAAAATTGTTTTGGACACATTGAGCTGACAATTTTACTTTTACCAACTAAGAGTAAAAATGATCCTTTTCTCTCTAAACTATCATTTGACTAGTATTTCAGAAACAGTGTTGACCAGCAGAAGACCTACACCAAAGCTAAATTTGACTAGTCATTAAGTAAAAGGCTACTGACTCATGTATTTATCAGTTAGTGGAATTGGGTCCTGCCTACTTTCTATCATTTTTCCAAATAAGCTCTTTATAGTCCCATAACACTGTTCTCTCAAACTGTTAGATTAGACTCTTTATTTAATCATATCAGCATGTTGAAGACTTCCACCAATTTCATCTTGCTGTTCTAATCTATTGGCTTATAATGCTATTCATTGAGTGTTTTACTACATTACTGTGATAGTTAATAAAAAGGTACAGATCCTGTTCTTTAGGTTAAATTAAAGCAAAAAAAAAAATGGGGGCTGTCTTTAATTGCAGACTTCAACTGTAATTTGTACAGTGGTTTAAAGTATAGGCATGTCATTACAAAAGTTTTTTCTTTTACTGCTGTATCATAGTTTTGGTAGAAGAAAACAGAAAAGTATAAAAGTAGTCAGCCCAAAATAATGGAAGAATCTCTAAATATCAGAAGAGAAGAATTGTTTTTTTAATCAGTTTCTTTTGAATGAACATTAGCTCCTTTTTGAAACTTGACCTTCAAAGATAGTGTTTTTGCATTTCTTTTCCTATTCATTCAGTGGGCCTACACTAATATTAGAATTTAGTGGAAGATTTTTGTTAGAATTCAGTGGAAGATTTTTGAATCCCACCTTCTTAAGTGGACAATAGTTTTCTGTTTCACTCTTTATTCAGCCATTGTTATTATGATTATCTCAAGGTTTATGGGAAATTTAATAAGAAAAGAGATACCAAAAAGTTCATTATATAATTCAGTCATATTTCCAACATATAAATACCACCGTGTAACACATACCTCCTGTGTAATTAAAGTCTCTCAGATTCTTTTTCTCCTCTTCTCTGGTTAGTACCCTGGAATCTCAATATAATGTATGTCACTGTCAGTCAAGTTGATGAGTCAAGTAGCCATGAGGGAAATAGTTCAAAATTAAGTCAAAGGATAACATGGGATCCAGGCAGACAAAAAGGCCCTGCTTCTTCAAGGACTTATATAGCTGAAAAAGAAGAAAGAATTCAGCTTGTATCTGCAGGTTTCTTTTCATGAGGGAATAGATAAGTCTAACTGGAACACTGACCTGAGCCATGGTTGGGTCCTAAGGGCTCAAAAGTAAGCAAAGTACTCTACTCAGCGTAGTCTTGGGCCAGATCTGGGCTATCGGATCAGAAGGCCTCCCATTGAGGGAGAGCTAAGAGTCAAGCCGGGGACTGTAAATACCAGTACCAAATCTCAAGGATTAGAAGTGGATTTTTTAAATGGGAAACAGAGCCAAGAGTCAAGATTCAAGGAAAGGTAATTAGAAAGGAGCAAATAGGAAGGGTATAAACTAATTACTGCAAATAGTCTTTGACTGTCCCCATACCAGTTTTTGTGGGTTTACAGTTACTTGAGTATCTCAGATTTGCTTAGAAGTACAGGGACAGGTCCGTCAGAAATTGAGTAGATTTGAGGTAAAAAGAGAGTGACTGCAAGGGCAGAAAATGAAACATTGTGCCTATAAGAAAAGCGACAACAGAGATCCCAGATGGATGTTTTAAACTTATGCCAGGTTGACTGAGATACATATGAAATTGTGTATTTTTACTTGATAATTAATTTGTATCCTGAACTTTCTCCATATTATAGTAGAAATTAGTGGGACATTTAAACAAATATTCTAAATAGTCTGTATTTAGTCACTGCTGTGTGGAAACGTTACCACAAAAGGAAAAAGAGGTAAGGAAAATTTTATGACTGCAGGGTTTAAATCTGTAGAAGAGAAATGTATTCCTTTTTGATCCTGTAAGGATGATGGTAGTGAAATGTTCACCTAAAAAGCAACAATAAGAATCCTACCCAGAGAACTTTGTACTTGAAAGCTACCTGGGAGGTTCCCCATTTCATCATAGTCCCTCTTTAGTGTGAAGAAAAGAGTTCTTAGTCATTAGACCTGGTTGTTGTGAAGTTCTAAAAAGACAATGTATGTAAATGCGTCTTGTAAGTTGCAGAGTACTCTACAGATGTTAGTTGTTATGTCCTCAGAATCCAGTGCCCTCCAAGGCTCTTACTAGTCTTTCAGCCCAACTCATTTCTTCTTTCTCTGATTTCCATATTCCTATTAATAGCATCTCTTTCAGTCTCTCAAACTAATTCCAAAATTTAGTTTTTAAGACCTTTTATAATTGATCCCTCAGTAACCAGATGAGCTTCTCTGCACTTTGTGTCCCCTGTCCCCCATTGCACTGATTTTCAGTTTTTGGTTTTTGCATGCATATGTTTCTGTTATAATACCACATATGTGTTCCTGAAAAAGCTTCACATTCTGCAAAATCATGCACTAAAAATAAACAAAGGTTATGGGAAAATAGGGTTATAAGCAGATCACTTAAAATTTATATAACTTTGTAATCAGAGCCCTGATAAAATAATAATCCTAATTAAAATGCTAACACAGTTAAATTTCGCTGGCATTTGCACCTAGAAATGCACTCAGACCATCCTTTGTGGTTATTCCTGGGGCTCACGTTTTATTCTTCGACATATAAGGTCTCAAAAATATTTGCTTCTCATAGAGACTTGTGTCATCAAAATTAAAAATATGATATGGGGATATCAGTCAGTTTGGGGTTGTTTTGTTTCGCTTTTTAACACAGAAATATCTTTGCATCCTTTTCATTTGCACTTGCCCTTTCCCCACATAGCTTAACATCGTGGAAAGCACAGCAGTTCTTAAAGCTACAAAACCAGTTACTTCTAAAAAAAACACTTCTGTAGGATTTTCATCTTTTTTCCTTAACATATTGGTAAAGCTTCCTCTTTAAAGAGGAAACTTGTGCCTGATCTTTTCTAAATATTAACTTGCTGAAAAATTTACATGTAAACCAATATTCCTTCTGTGTTATTCCCATAGTTACCAATCTCATAGAGCTAAGTGCATTAAGATTCTTACATACTTTATAGCAGAATGGAACATACTTGTTTTATCCCCCTTTACCCCATTGTCTATGAACTCACTGAGGACAGAAACTGTCTCCAACTCATCTCTGTGTCCCCTCCAGTGCCTGGCATAGTGCCTTTTGCTTAGAGAGTGATCAAAAAGTATTTGGGGCTTTCCTGGTGGCGCAGTGGTTGAGAGTCCGCCTGCCGATGTAGGGGACACGGGTTCGTGCCCCGGTCCAAGAGGATCCCACGTGCCGCGGGGCAGCTGGGCCCGTGAGCCATGGCCGCTGGGCCTGCATGTCCGGAGCCTGTGCTCCGCAACGGGAGAGGCCACAGTGGTGAGAGGCCTACATACCGCAAAAACAAACAAACAAACAAAAAGTATTTGTTGGCTCTAACTAATTTGTTCTGCATAATAAATATAAATCTATAGTATAGGGAAGTCCCTTAATGTGAGGACTGATACAACCTAAACATGATTTTGTCTAGCTTCCTTTGCTGTCAGTACCTGCCCTCTTAAGGTCTTACGTATTCAGTTTAGAGATTATATGCTGTTACATATTCATATCTCTGTAAGCCATGTTGAGACATATTGTTATATATGATGCTTCTTGGAGATTAAGCCCAGTCGTCCTATGTAAAATTCTACCAAACTGTCTCCATTTCACTGGTCGGTCACTGACACTAAAAAAGGCAGTAGAGTTTTACAAGTCAACTGGTCAGTTCTCTTCTGTGCTGTATTGATTGAAGTGGTAGAAATAGTGGTGGAAATGGTATGTGTTCCTTCTTTCAGTGAGGAAATTGCAACCTTTCCTACATGAGACCCTGGACCATCTCAATCAAAGGAAAGAAAAGGGGAAATAACCATAGTTAAATTCATATTTGTCTTAAAGCAATTACAATGAGAATTTATGTCCTTATTTAATTCTTATCTTAGGCAAAAGGCATTTAATTTTCTGTAGTTGAAACAGTTGCTAAGCCTATGACTTGTACATTGCCATAGTAGTGATCTTAGTCATATGTATTTTAGTCAGATGTATCACTACCATTCAATAATTATTAGAACTAAGATATTATACATCACCCAAGTGAAGGGAGGATAAATATTAGTTCTCTCTTTTTTCAGAATGTAAAGAGGCTCCTGCAGAACCCCAAAGTGACAGAGTTTGATGCTGTGCGCCTGGTGATGCTTTATGCTCTACATTATGAGCGACACAGCAGCAATAGCCTACCAGGATTAATGATGGACCTTAGGAATAAAGGTGTTTCTGAGAAGTATCGAAAGGTAACCAGATTTATATATTAATCCCATCAAACAGGAACCAAATTCTAGTATTATAGCCTTAATTCTGACAAATAATGTCACAGTTTTTATTCACAGAAATGTATAATTCTGTCCTCTCATGTTTTCATTTCCTTAATAAAGTTATTTTCTTCCTGTTCCACAAGCAATAAGAGGTTGTTTCTCTATCTTTTTTTTTTAAAAAAAAGCTTGTGTCTACAGTTGTTGAATATGGTGGTAAACGGGTCAGAGGAAGTGACCTCTTCAGCCCCAAAGATGCTGTGGCTATTACCAAACAGTTCCTCAAAGGATTGAAGGTATGATATCTCTGTGCTTTGCTAAATGAGAAACAGTTGAAGTCCCTGAAGCTGAGAGTGAGTGAATATGATCTTCAAAGTAACTTCAGGATTGCTGCTGATCTAGTACTATGTCAGTTAGGTGAAATTAAAGCAGACATCCTCTTGAAAGCTTTTTCTTTAAATACTTTCTGTATTGGAACAGCATCATCATTGGTCCAAATAACTGAGAAGGGAATAATGAGATATTTCCAGGAAATACCCAAGAATAAAAAGGCAGACAGTTCTGTTAGTCATAGCTATTTTACTCCATTTGTTTAAGATTTGTTAGGTTGTTTTTCTCTGATGGAAATTAAAGATGAAGCAAACAATTGTAGATCTTTTAAAAATACTAACCTATTTTCTTAAAATGGTCAAAAATTAGTTTTAATCTGCTAGGCTTTCTTATGTTTCCTGAAATTTTTCCATTTTCCTGAGTGTTTCTAGTCTCCTTTGCTACGTAGTCCTTTTATTTGCTCTACATATCATATAATATTTCCACAAAAGGAAGGGTGTCAGTGAAGAGATAATAAAGGATTTAAGCAACTGCATTTTAAAAATTCCTTTATAACAGCTAACCTTAAATTAGAGTTTTTTCATAAGATTAGACCATTTCTAATTGATGAAAATAATTAACTATAAAATTCTCCTAAAATTCCTGCTTGACTCTTGTCCCGTGAAATCTCTATTGAGTACATGTCCTTTTCTGATATGAGTATCATTAACTGTTATATTGCAATTTCCAAAAAAAAATGACATAAGAACTATTTCCCCGTGTCTTAGGGAGTAGAAAATGTATATACTCAGCATCAGCCTTTCTTACATGAGACCCTGGACCATCTCATCAAAGGAAAGCTCAAGGAAAACCTGTATCCTTATCTAGGCCCCAGCACACTCAGAGACAGGTAAGATAACAAAGATATTAATAATAAAAACCAGAGGCACTAAGAAAATAGGAAATTTAGGGTAATGTAAGAGACTACAGCAAAGGTTATATCATTCTAATCTTCCTTCCCCAGTTGTTTCAGTTCTAAGATTCTTTTGGTTTTACATGTGTCAAAGTTAGATTTAAATTCCCCTACTAAGCCTGAAACATTGTTTCTTTTGGAATAAAGAAACAGATGTTTTGGAGAGCCCCAAATACTGTGTCCTGTCCTTTAGTCTCAGACCAGTTTACTTATGCCATTTAAGGTTCAGTTCCATGGCATCTAGCATTTGGAGTTTCAAACATTAAGGCTGAAAATAGATTTGCTGCTTGATTACCATCCAGAGCAGGTTGTTACTATTTTTGGTGAGGACTGGACTTTGCCAAATGTGGCCAGTATATAAACTGAGACCTAATTGACAAAGGCCTTTTGTCACACAGGAGAAAAGGATGGCTTTCTTTTTGGGTATTAACTGAAGGAAGCAATTGTCGTTTTAATCCAGTGGTTTGTTAGTTTTTTTAAAAACAAAAGTTGTCCAGAACAACTTACATAAGCCAACCTGAAATTTTAAATATACACAAATTCTACCTAGTTATAAATTATATTCTTGTGTATTTTTTATTGGGACCACATATTATAAAGAGCCAAATATATGTAGCTGAATCCTATTGGATAGATTAATGTGAGAATTGTTACTGTTGGTATAATTCTTATATTATTTTAGCTAATCATAATCTAAGGCCTTGGAAGAATAGTGTTTTATAAATGTAATGAATTTCTGAAAGGAGAAAAATATTTTGAGGTACATAAATAACTCTTGTATGATAAAATATATTTTTTCATGTTTTTCCTTAAAAAAAAAAAAAAACTCTGTAATTTGGTAACAGAACAGAAAGAAAAAAAAAAAAAAGAAATCTTTTTAAAAATCCAAGGTTGAGAAGCAGAACATCTGGGGTTAAATTCAGAGAGTATACTCATTTGGCATCAAAATTTAGAAATGTCAGCTAAGTGGTAAGAATGAAAACCAGCCCAAAGCTATTCACCTATCTGAGAGGCTTTTTGAAAAACAGTATAACTCTATTAAATAGCCTTCTAATTAACATGATAAAAGTAAAAATATTAATTTTCTTATGAATTTCATATAAGAATTATTGAATAAGAAATTAGCCACTTATTGCTAAAGGGACATAATAGACCACCAGAAGAATATTGTGGATGATTAGTTCATGAGAGCAAACCTTTCTAATTTGGGGAATTCATTTCCAAACAAAGTTCAAAATGAGGCTCTCTTTATCAGTTGTCAGCATCTGTGGGCATTTGTCACTATTACCTAAATATATATATAGTTAATAATTCAGGGCTTCCCTGGTGGCGCAGTGCTTGAGAGTCCGCCTGCCGATGCAGGAGACGCGGGTTCGTGCCCCGTATCGGGAGGATCCCACATGCCGCGGAGCGGCCGGGCCCGTGAGCCATGGCCGCTGAGCCTGCGCATCCGGAGCCTGTGCTCCGCAAATGGGAGAGGCCGCAACAGTGAGAGGCCCGCATAACGCAAGAAAAAATAATAATAATAATAATAATAATTCAGTTACTTCATCCTTTTATATAACAAATATTTGAATGCCTTCAATATGTCAAGAACTGCTGGGGAAATAGAAGTGACAGGAAAGACAAGGTACCTGCCTTCAAGTAACTTACATGAAGGAGACAGACAGTAAACTAGTAAAGAAATTTGAATATAATTTGAATGAGATAAGTGCTATTGAGGAAATAAATAGGGTAATAAGCTACAAAGTAACTTTGTAGAAGTGGGGAAGGCTACTTTAGATGGAGAGAACCTCTCTGAAGAAGTGATACTTAGGATGAGCTTTGAATTACAAGAAAGAACCAATCTCATAATGATTAGGAGGAAAAGCCTCACAAATAGAGGGAACACCAGAACAAAGTCCTTGAAGAAAGAGAACTTGGCAAGTTCATGGAACAGAAAGAAGTCCAGTGTGGTTGGAGCATAACAAGTAAGAAAATGAGAAGTTGAGAAGATAAGTAGGGCTGGATCACATAGGGTCTTACAGGCTCTGGTAAAGAGGTTTTTAAATTTTTAAATGTCATAGGAACCCACTGAAGCGCTTTAAGCATTCAAGTGACATAAACTGAATTATGTATTAAGAGATCACCTTGTGGGGAGAATGGATTATTGAAGACAAAGTTAGAAGCAGAAAGACTACTTAGGAGGTGGCTGCAATAGTCCAGGTAAGAAATGAAAGTGCTTTGGATAAGGAACCTAGGAGAGAAGGTGGAATCAATAGACTTATTTAATGGAGTAGAGTAATGGGACAAGGGTAAGGGAGAAACCAAGAATAACTCTCAGGTTTGGGGGGAAAATCAAGAGTTTTGTTGTTAAATTGCAGATGCCTGGTAGATAATCAAATGGAAATGTTCGATGCTAAATTGGGAGTTAACAAGATTTGGGTGATTTAAAGCCATGGGACTAGACTAGATCACTTAGGGGTAAAGAAGAGGACGCAGGACTAAGCACTGAATAGAGAATTGGAGTCAGCAATGGAGACTGAAGAAGAGACAGAAAGATAGGAGGAAAACCAGAAAAACTTGGTATCATAAATATCAAGGAGTGAGTGGTTACCTGAGACCAGTCTTCTGAGACATAAAAAAGGTGAGGACAGGGCTTCCCTGGTGGCACAGTGGTTGAGAGTCCGCCTGCCGATGCAGGGGACACGGGTTCGTGCCCCGGTCCGGGAGGATCCTACATGCCGCGGAACGGCTAGGCCCATGAGCCATGGCCGCTGAGCCTGCGCGTCCGGAGCCTGTGCTCCACAATGGGAGAGGCCAAAACAGTGAGAGGCCCGCATACCGCAAAAAAAAAAAAAAAAAGTCAGGACAGTGAAAAATCCATCAGACTATTCCCCAGGTTCAGTGAGTTTGGAAGCCAAATTAGAGAGGGTTACAAGAGATAAGACAAAATGGAGATAACAAACAGTATGTAACACTTTTTAAGAAATTTTGCTTCAAGGGGTCAGAGAATGGGATTGTAGCTAGAAGAGATTGTAGGCTCAGGGGAATGAGAGATTCTAGAGCATACTTATAACCTGATGAGAATTATCCTAGAGAAGGAGAAATAGGTAATGCAGAAGAGAAAGGGCAAGACTTGCAGAAGTGAAGTCTTTAGGAGATCTAGAACACAAGCAGAGAAGATTTTGATAGGAGCAGAGGTACTTCTTTCACTGTAACAGCTTTTTTTTAAAATTTATTTATTTATTTTTGGCTGCATTGGGTCTTCACTACTGCGCGTGGGCTTTCTCTAGTTGTGGCGAGCAGGGGCTACTCTTTGTTGCGGTGCACAGGCTCCTCAATTGCGGTGGCTTCTCTTGTTGCAGAGCACAGGCTCTAGGCGCACGGGCTTCAGTAGTTGTGGCATATGGGCTCAGTAGTTGTAGCTTATGGGCTCTAGAGCACAGGCTCAGTAGTTGTGGCACACGGGCTTAGTTGCTCCGCAGCATTTGGGATCTTCCTGGACCAGGGTTCGAACCCATGTCCCCTGCATTGGCAGGCGGTTGCTTAACCACTGCGCCACCAGGGAAGTCCCCACTGTAACAGCTTTGATGTTGAGAACATGGGGCCATCTTGTTTGATTACTTCTGTTTTCTCAGTAAAATATGATGTCGTTATCAGGTAAAGTACAGGATAAAAAGAGAAAACATTGTGAAATTGTTATCTTGTAGGCTTGTAATCAGATTTACTAGGGAAATGTAGTAGGACTTCTAGGCACGACTGAGTGCCCACTGGAGTTCTGTGGTCATTAATTTAAAATACAGCCCATGAACCTAGTTGTGTGGTTTTCTCTAGCAACTTTTAGCTGCACTAGATTAAATGAGGAGAAGGCTGATAGCTGGGTCCAACCAGGATTTTAGGAAACAAAAAAAGATGGAGGGTATTGGATAGTGAAAAAAATATTGTTGAATGAATTGGAGGTATCGATGAGGTCAAAGAAATATTACAGTAGAGGCATTAGCATAAGTGAATTAAAAGTTGAGGGAGTAGTTATTAGAGAAAGAGGTCTTCAATTCAAGATTTCATATTGTGGATACTTGTAATGCAAAAGTTTATGTTATAATCATGGATGTTGGTGGCTGTGAGGGATGAAAGAACGAATCAGTGTGGGTGAGGAGACCAGGATGTGAGATGAGTAATCCACGTTGGTGTTAGAGTCACTGAAAATCTTGAAAGGAGCAGGAACAGGAATGAAAAGGAGAGGACAGTACCAGAGCTGAAGTCTTCAGGGAATAAGAAAATGACCAGGAAAGGAGGTCAGGAGAAAACAGTGCAACTATATCATAAGCTTCTAAGATAGTGGAAATTTTGAAGAAGGCGGAGAAATGGTTATGAAACCATAGTAGGGGGCACAGAGGATACCTATGCCACCTCCTGGCCCTGTTTAACAGAAAGAAGAAAGAAATTGTTAATAATGGTTACCTCTGGATACTGAGACAGTGGTTAGTTGTATACATGTCTATCCTTCCCACTAGGTATTGTATTAAGTATTGTAATCTTGAAGTAAGAACTATGTTTTATTAATATTTGGGTTTTTCACAATATTTAACACAGTGCTTTACATATAGATGTTCAATAGATATTGTCAGATTTCTTATGTAGGCATCTGTAGTAGGTGATATGACAAGATTTACAGTTGGGAAATGTGAACTAGAGAGTAAATTTGGTTGATGTTACCAGACAATTTCGACTTTTGCAGTTTGCCTGTACAGTATTTTGGCTCTGTATTCACTTAGACCCCCCCTCAGCTCTAGGCACCGTCTTCACACTGGGTTATCACATTTAAAAGAGTCATTGATTTTAGTCATCTTTATGGTTAACTTAAGTCTCATCATGATAGAACTTCTTGGTTTTGTTGTTATTGTCATAATAGAAGATATCACAGGAGATCTGGCAAGAACACAACTTTGCAAAAC